TGCCAGCGGCATATACATTTTCCTGATTGATTTTCTCCACGGTATGCTTGTCGCGTTGTTCTACCCAACGTGGATCCAAGAGACCGATGCGCATATGCTCAGCCACTTTGGAGGCCGGAATCTTTTCACCTGTAATTGGTGAAATAAGGAATTCATCAGTTGGCGCTGGTTTAGGTGGTTTAACTTGAGCAGCCTTCGGATCGTATTTCTTTACTACCACCTTATCGTGTGTGGGCGGTAAAAGTGGAGCAACTGGTGGTTGCATTTTATTAGCGGCGGGTGATTCTTCATCACTCGAAGCTTCATCCATATCTTGAACTTGAATGTTGTCCTTTTTAGATGATTGATTTTGGTATGAAACATCTTTCATGTGAATACCAATGCGATTCTCCATTTGTGACAATTTAACAGCACCTCCTGTACTGGGAGCATCCTGGCTGTCTTCATCATCTGATTCGATTTGCATTTCAATGTCGCCATCATCTTCTTGCAATCGCTCCTCCATTAAAACGCGAGCACCCACTTCCTCGGGAGTAGTTGGTGGTGGAAAGTTACCCGTTTCGAACGGCTGATAATCGACCGTTTCTACTACCACAAAATCGTGCCAATCAATTTGAGCATAGGCGACTTGAAACAAATAAATACAATTTTATTTATTAGTCTTTTATTATTAGTACAACTACAAAAAATATTATTTACCTCTTTCCTTTTCAATTTTTTCTTCCTCTCGACGGCGTTGTGCTTCCTGATGCTTTTGCCAATTTGCCCGATATTTAACTTGATCGAGTACAAGATTCATACTCGATCGTCCTGGATTACTTTCAGCTCTTAGCTTGCCAAGTAAATCCTTTGGAGGAATTAAAATTTTTGTGTACTGTTCTAAAAGCTTAGTAAAGTACTGAAAAAGCGAATGTTGAGGGCGCAAAAAATCAAACTGAAAGTTGCGTTGTTCACGATTCATTAAATTTGTTAAGAACTGACGACCATTACGTGCCACGAATTGCGCCGTTAACTTAACAATATCCCTATAATAGAATTGATTAATAACTTATTTTTAAAGAGAATTAATTTGTTATTTGACTTACAAGTCGAGAGCTGAAATCGATGGTGGATCCGCAATAAATTCAAATTCTGGGGGAGGATCTTTTGGGACAAATTGCTGCTCGGCCACTTGTTTTAAAAGCTCTTGCTGTTTTTGTTGAGCAGCGCTGGTCACAGATAACTGCTTAATACCACTAACCACACTAGGAGCGCTAGCATCTGTAAATATTAAATAAAAAATATATAGAAAAATGATTAAAACTTTTAAGTATTTTACCTTTTCCTTCCCTAAATTCATTCACTTTATGTCTGTAGTATGCATGATATGGGTCTCCGGAACTTAAGAAATTAAATTTCGGATTTCCCAATTCGTTCTGTCGAATACGTGCCTCAAACTCTGGACCATTACGTGCTACGAAACTAGCAGTTTTATCGACAATATCTGTTTTTTGAAAATATCTTAATTAAGTCTGGAAAACCTAGGAAATTTGCTAGAAGAAAAAAAAACAAAGCTGATAGAGAAAAGGATACTTCTAACCTCCGGCGGAGGATAGATTATGCCAATTATGGGTCCAGACATTGGCTTGGACTGCTGGTTATTATCGACCGTCACATCTGCTTCTATTGGCGGCATGTTCGTTTTAATATTTATAAATTATTTTTAATTAATTTCGGTGTATTTTAATTTATTTTTTCCAAAACATCAAAACGTTTTTGACAACGCTTGCTTGCAATGATGGCAATTTGTCGAGTTTTATTTTTCATTATTTTCCGTACAATTCTAGCGATTTTATATAAGTAAAGCGTTTACGTTTAACCCTCTAATGCCACATTTTTTGTTTGACTTCAAAGCACCGGTTCACATAGTGGCTGTCCACACTAGAAATTTTGTTGAGAAACTTTTTCTTAATTCTCTTTTAAAGTTTGATTTCATTATTGTCTACACATAGAAACTTTTGTTAAAGAAACTAAGTGTTAATGATATTTTTTCTCATCATTTTTTCTCTCACACACAAAATGGAAAGTTTCCCAAAAAAAGTTTGCTTGTGTAGACCAGGGTTTACTGAATACAAGACGACATCACTAGCCCAGCTGATCATTGTTTACAATCTTTTATACATAGACTTGTATACAGGCCTAAAACGCATGCTTGTCAAACTTCATATAAAAAAATTTGACAATCGTGCGGTTGCTCTCAAGTATTGGTACCTTGTTAAGTATACCGTGGTGTAGACCATAACTTACTTAAGCCACTTCACACGAGCACACAAGTAATATGATCTGTCAGAATTTTGTGTAGAAGAGATCGGATGGGATCGTCTAAACGCTATATGTAATAAAACCATCTGACATTGAGAGAAAATACGGATGGAAAATTTGACAGTCGTATGGCTCTCTTCATTTTTTGAAATTATTAAAAAAACAAGCAAGTCGCATTAGATCAGGGATGTATTTTTATGTAAACACATACAAAAAAAGTGAAACTACTGTTTCCATCTTACTTTGTTATTGCTTTATACCAATCGTGTAAACACAAAAAATATAAATCATACGACTTTTATTCTCTTTTTTGTCATACGGATGGAATTTCATTTTACTTTTTCATTAGACTTGTCGTAAGTAAAGTGTGATCGTCTGAAGGGCCCTTTAATTCACGGAAATCTGTGCCGTCTTGTTTTGGATTTTAGAAGGCGTTGCCAGGGCTGTCAGATAAATTTGTAGAAATATCGGCAATTTTTTCCCAAAAAATCGGCACATACCTACATTATAAAAATTGGCAATTGAAGAAAACGCTATTTTGAACTAAAGACACATATTACAAATTAATTCAAAAATCATAATATTGTTTTTACATATATAACTCAGGGATTTTTTTATCCAGAATAGGTCTAATAAAATAACTTTTCTTTTTCACCGAAACTTTGTTTTACTAGAATAAACTCGATCAGAATTTGTATTACTTTTGCAGAAAAATTTTACTTTATAATTATTTGTTGAATACTACCCTAAAAATGAAAAAGAATTAAATATTTTCAAATTTTGGTAATGAGTGATGTAGTTATTACATATATTACTTGGCAATGAATTGTCGTTATCAACAACATTGTCTAGAGCGTATGTTTATTAAGGATTTAGTTAGTGGTTCTAATCCTAGTCGATAGTAGAAGATTTTTTTTTGTGTTTTTTAACTGCATTGATCATAAATAAACTCCTACATAATTTGCAATCAATCAAATGTAATTTAAAGAAGAAAAACAGTTAAAATAATGAGAATAATATGTAGAGGTCATAAACATTCCCAAAAATTAACTCACAGAACCAATCAATATGTCATACAGCAACTATATGAATTTTTTTGAAAAAATGTTGTTTTTTACATTTTTGTTAAAACCATTCCAAATAGCATGATCAAATAACTTGTTGATGGAGCATTGAGTAAGAGTATAGTCTAGTAAACACAGAAAATAACTGTAAAGCCGGTTTTAAATCCGGGAAAGTCCGGTAAGCACATTTGTAGTCAGTTATTTCCTTTTTTTTTCGTCGAACAAAAACCGGATAAGTAAAGATTTTGCTGGGTAAATTTTAATAATGGGAAATTATCCCCAGATTTTTGTTCAAAATTAGCTTTTCCGTGTGGAGTTGTCAGATCTCCCATCGGACGCGTCCCAGGTGGCGGATAGGGGGAGCTAAGCATGGTCTTTTTCGACACATTGGACATAATGGTCGAAAACGACGATGCTAGCTCGAGATAAGGCAGACCTGACTAGATACATTTTTGACAAATGGTCTAACAAGCCTGTCATATCTAGATGAGTGCATGAATCAGGACAATCTTTTATCACATCAGTGGATACATTTTTGACAAATGGCCTACTGATATGTAAAGAGATGGTAGAGTGCTGATATGATTTATGGTACATCTGATAACAGGCGGTCATATATGATAACAGGACTTCTCCTGTTCCCCATGCACAAATCCGCGGACCAAAACTGTCAACCCCACCCCCATCCCCATATTTCCCAATCCACCTAGTTTATCCCTCTTCAATCCAATCCCAAGAACCCATTCCCTCATCCCCCACTTGTAAGGTTAAGGTGGTTGGAAGCAGTGCCGAGAACCTGAATGGCTAGTTAGTGGTTAAAGAGGACTAGTCGTTAACAGCTCCCCTCCGATGCCAGGGCACGGATCGGTTGTAATGCTTAGCCTAGCCCACGTACGCCGTCCCTGCGTGGGTCGTCCACCCATTACGCGCCTACTCGTGGGAATCACATGGAGAAAAAAACAAATAAACAAACAAACAACAAACAACCCGTGGAAAGCCAGTTGGGGAAACCTAAACTGGTGGACTGCAAACAGCCTGCTATCCAACCTTCTGGTGATAGCACGGCTGAACGCAGCGAGGAAATCTTGTCCGTAGTGGCAAGCACCTCATCAGCTGCACAAGCCTTAGCTGGTACGCCAGCAAATACCCCTGCCTCGGGCACTGCGGACCAAGCAGTGACCCCCGCGACTTCTGGACAGGTTGGATCGTCGAACTCGATGTCGGGTCCAACTAATGCCCCCTCAACCGCCCTCACGGCTAACGAAAACCCCCCTAGTCGCAAAGATCCATCTAGGAAGGCTTTTGTTCAAAGGCGTGCCGCCATGCGTTTAGTCGAGCGACTTGGAGTTAAGTCGGTCGATACGCTTACCACGGACGAAAAATCGTCCCTAGGTTGGGCTAAAGCCCTACTGGCTCAGCCGGAGTGTTCTGACCCTCCTACAACCTCAGATGCAGCGGACCAAGCTACATCTGCAGGGCCTAAACGGCAGCGATCGGAGGAAGAACATGCTCTCCAGGCAGTCCCACAGCCGAAGACTAAACGTCAGAAGCAGTTCGAGACTCGTATAGTCAATAGACCCTACAGCGAAGTTGCCAAAAACCCGCTAGTTAGGGCCATTGTTGACAAGAGTGTCAACGACGGAGCTATCTCCCAGGACAAATGGTTGATAATCCGTCAAAAAATGCTGGAGGTGTATTGGAAAATTCTCAAAGAGAATCCCGGTCCATCTCCGCAGAATGATGATGCTGGCTGGTACCAAGGTCACATCAAACTGCTGGCGTGCACGAACGAGCGCTCAGCAAACTTGCTTAAGTTGGCGGTTACTAGTGTTTATAAAAAACCGACTTTTGGAAAAACCGGTTTTTCGGTTAACCGAAAATTAACCATTTCTAAAAAACCGGTTTGTCGGTTAACCGAGTATAAAAAACCGGTTAAACCGGTTAACCGAAATGTTTGGAAATCTTTAAAATATTATAATATATAGTTGAAAAATGTCATTTTGCGAAATATTATAAATTACTTAATAAGATATTTGCATTTTTTAGTATAGATATGTACATTAATATATCATAAGAAAACAAACTTATATAGATCTGAAGATATTATTGATTCGTTAGGTATATGGAAGTTGCCATACGAGGGATAAATTGACCATATATATCAATAGCAAAAATTATGCCCAGAACTATAAACAGTGTTCAGGTTCGCGACGATTGTCTCGACATAGACAGTGACCTCCCTCCACTCACTACGCCTGTGGTTGTTCAAATTACTGTGAATGACGCTTAGGAATATTGACAGGTGTCATTCTGACTTCCTGTCAATCAACCTAAGCGCCATTACAGTTTGTGAAAAACCCCAGCAGCATAAGTTCTCGGACGGCAACAACAATCCTTATGTTTCGATAAATAAAGTCCGTTTTGAGAACGTTTGAGAAACTTCTCGATTTTTACTATACTCACGCAGTAAACAAGTAAGTATATAGATAATATTTGTTTAACAATCTTAGGTCTGTTTTCATATGCACAAACGGAAAATAATGTTTAAAATTATCTATCCAAAATTTTTAAAAATCACAATAAAATATCAAAGAAAACATACAATTTTGTACTAAAAATTAGATTTTTTTGAAACCGGTTAACCGAGACTTAAAAACCGGATAACCCGGTTAACCGAAAACCAATGTTTTAAAAAACCGGTTTGCGAAAAACCGAAATATGCAATAAAAACCGGTTTTTCGGTTAACCGGTTAACCGGTTTATAAACACTAGCGGTTACGTCTATAGGGGAAGTGTGGCCCGGCGCGAAACTTGACGTGATCCCGGTTAGTGAGATACCTCGCAGACCGAGATCAATCACGGTTATTCCGGCGGAACCACACGAACCAGAGGCGATTCTGGCGTACCTTCAGAGTGGAAACCCTGACCTACCTACCCACAATTGGAAGGTAGTCAAGGTCTCCGAACCTGAAGGTGCTAACAGAAAGGCGGTCGTGGTCCTTAATAAGGAATCGTTGCCGTTACTCCGAGAGAAGCAAGGCAAAGTATACTACGGATTTGATAGTATCAAGCTGCGCGTCTACCGGGGTGACGACAAACTAGACCCCAAACCGGTAAGCACGGACGGAGGAAAGGTAGACGATACCACTAACTCTGACGACCAAATGGACGCCCAATCAAGTACAGACTTGATTGGGAATCTATTTGATAGCCAGGGCGAAGTGATTGACGAAGACGAGCTTCTGAAAACAGACCCAGAAGACGCCGACGTCACAATCGTCTACGACCCTGACCAAGATGAAGGTGATCCAAGTGAACCTTCACCACTCTAAAGCAGCTTCAGCTGCATTACACCTCCACCTTGGATATCAAGGGGAGGATATAGCGTTGATCCAAGAGCCGTGGACCCATAACGGCAACATACTTGGAATCAACGTAAAAGGCTATAAAATACTATACGCAAAAGGCACAGGTAACATTAGATCTTGCATACTTGCTAAAAGCACCCTAAATATCTTCATTCTATCTGATTACAGTGATGAAGATACAGTAACCGCAGCATGGGAGACAGAGGAATCCACAATGTGGATCCTCTCCTGCTATATGGCGCACGACCAGACAGACCCCCCGCCAAGTAACACGGTCGTCAGGGCAGTAAGTGCAGCAAACGGAAAACGCATCCCTGTTATTATAGGCGCAGATGCAAACGCACACCATACACTATGGGGTAGCACCAACATCAACACACGAGGTGAGTTCGTATTAGACTTCATTTTAAACCATAATCTTGAAGTAGTAAATAGAGGTTCAGAACCTACATTTGTAGTTGCAAATAGACAAGAGGTACTGGACATAACGCTTGTAAATACAAGTCATTCGCACATAATCCGAAACTGGAAAGTATCGGAAGATTGTTCCTTTTCAGATCATAGATATCTCGTATTCTCAATAGAAAAAACACAGGAAAGGAAAACCCCCTTTCTAAACAGAAGAAAGACAAGATGGGAAGAACAAAATCGAATCCTGACAAGTCTTCTTCAAAATACGCCGGAAATAAACAATACAGCAGATATTGATAGAGCTGTAGACAACCTTACACGCTCTCTTAATCAAGCAACAAGAAGAACATGCAAACCTTCGATACCAAAGGGTAAAAGTAAACCTCCTTGGTGGTCCTCGGAAATAGCGAAGACTAGGAATAGATGTCGCAAACTTTTCAATGAGGCCAAAAGATCAGGTGAATGGTCCACATATAAAGCCTCATTGAATAAATTTAAGAATCAGGTTAGGAATGCTAAACGCTGCTCATGGAGAAGCTTCTGTGGTAGCATCGAAAGCTCTTCAGAGACAAGTCGTTTATGCAAAATCCTGTCTAAATCACAAACCGTTCAAGGCTACATCCAAAAGCAAGACGGTGAGTGGACAACGAGTGGACAAGAATCCCTACAGGAATTAATGGACACTCATTTCCCAGGTAACTTACCATTGGATACTACAATGGAAAGACCACAAACGTATTGTCAAACCCCGATCGGAATCACTATAGACGAGGGAATGATAAAATGGGCAATAAACAGCTTTAACCCATATAAGTCACCGGGCCCGGACGGCATAATTCCAGCTGACCTGCAATATAATGCAGAATTAGTTATACCATGGCTACTTGAAATATTTCAAGCCTGTCTTACATGGTCATACGTACCAGAACAATGGACCAAATGCAGTGTGACGTTTATCCCCAAAGGAGGAAAAACAACGCACATTAAGGCAAAAGATTATAGGCCCATAAGTCTATCATCGTTTCTGCTTAAGACCCTAGAGAGGATCATTGACGTCCACATAAGATCGTCAATAGATCCTATGCTCCTATCTCCCTCACAACATGCCTACACCAAAGGCAAATCAGTTGAGACGGCCCTACACTCACTAGTGGGACATATAGAAAAGTCCTTGGAATTTGGTGAATACACGTTAGTGGCCTTTCTGGACATAGAAGGAGCCTTTAACAACGTCAAACCCGACATCATCATATCAGCTCTAGAAGAGCTCGGTATTGAGACATCAGTGATTAAATTCATAAAAGACCTTCTTCAACACAGGATTATCCGTTCTAACATGGGAATGGCATGTATTCAAAGAATGGCAATCAGGGGCACACCTCAAGGTGGAGTCCTATCACCACTTTTATGGAATGTGGCCATAAACAGCCTACTAATGAAACTGGACAACCAAAGATACAAGACTGTCGCTTACGCAGATGACGTTGCGGTAGCAGTATCAGGTTTCCATCTGAATACGATATCTCAAAGACTCGAATCAGCACTCAATCTACTAAGTAAATGGAGCGTTGATAGTGGTTTGAGTGTAAACCCTAGTAAAACCGAACTTGTACTCTACACCAGGAAATACAAGATCGAAAATTTTACCCTACCTCGACTAAATGGAGTCGTACTCTCACTTTCGAACAGTGCGAAATACCTAGGGGTGATACTTGATAGTAAACTATCATGGAAGGAAAATATCACAGCCAGAGTAAACAAAGCCTTAATGGCAATGTACATTTGCAAGAAGGCCATAGGAAAAAGATGGGGACTAAATCCCAAACTGGTAAATTGGATCCATGAAGCGGTTATTAAACCTATTCTCTTTTACGGGGCTGTTGTCTGGTGGAAAGCACTGAACAACAACTCCAATTGTATACTTCTTGATAAGGTACTAAGAAGGATAGCAATCCTTATAACAGGAGCACTGAGAACAACTTCAACCAAATCTCTATTCGCAATGCTTAATTGGATCCCAACGGATCTGATAGCCAGAAAACTGGCACTCATCACTGCCCTCAGACTTGATGCCATAAATGCTTGGACACACAGGCCATACGGCTATTATGAGGGAAACATCTTTCCTCCCGGGCAATATTGATTACTGCACACCCAAACCTTTCCTCCGTAGGGACTTCGGATACACAATATCCGAAAACTCTTCACCGGAGGAGAACAGTTCCCCAAGAACCCTCCTGGTATATACGGATGGTTCTAAAAAAGGGGAACGAGTTGGAGGTGGCATTTTTATCCCTGAATTTGGAACTAAAATAAGCTTTAGGATACAGAATAATTGTAGTCCACTACAGGCTGAACTATCAGCCATAAAAAGAGCAGCAAATTGGCTTTGGTACTACAGAATATCAAACAGAGATATTCACATTTGTACCGACAGCCAAGCTGCTATCAAATCCCTGATTGGTGTATATACTACATCTAAACTAGTCCAGGAATGCCGGGCATCCTTAAACAGGATGGCGAGACATTCAATAATCGTGCTCAAATGGGTACGGGGACACGGGGATTTGACTGGCAACTATATCGCTGATGAATTAGCGAAACTAGGAGCCTCAATGTCCGACAGAGACATAGACATCTTTTGCGGAATACCGCTAAAAGCTTGCAAGACCATAATAGATGGAAAGTTCTATGAAATTTCTCAGACAAGATGGCGTAATGAACCAACTTGTATCAATACCAGGAAGATATGGCCAAATTTGGACAGTAAACGCACGTCATATCTTCTGCAACTAAACCGCCCTCATATCAGCAACCTTGTTGCTGTCATTACGGGGCATATCTCATTGGGAAACCATGCAAGAAGACTTGGAATTCCCCACAACGACTTCTGTAGAAGCTGTCAAGACGAAGAGGAGGAAGAATCCATCGAACATCTTCTCTGTCAATGCCCTGCGCTAGCGGACACTCGATCCGTATATCTAGGAAAACGACTATTTGATGACTCGTCAGAACTATCCAATCTAGGACTGGATAACATAAATGCCTTCATCAGGCACAGTAACTGGTTTTAGGACCACCAAGCCATAATTAAGGCACTCACTAGTCCGCAAGGACAGACCTCTCAATCTTCTCCTCCACTTCAATTTCTCTTCTATGACTTAATCCTAAACTATCTTCTACTATCCTCTACCCTCTTTCTTTTATATTTTATTATCTTTACAGGTATCACAAAGGGACCAACAGGACCCAAGTGTGCGTCTTTGCAGCCTGAATACCTAACCTAACCTAGCTTTTCCACAAAATTTGTAAATTTATTTTCGAAAAGTTTAAACATTTTAGCACCCTTAGATCAGATTTTTGGAAACCTATTCAGGATTTTCATACATAGCGTTGTACTTTTCATAATATACATATATTTCGATCCAATTGACATTGCTGGTGGAGCAAATTGTGTTCTACTATAATGGAAATTTTCTTTTCCCAATTGTTTTAAATGCTTATTTTCGACAATAAATCCGTTAAAATTGCAAAAAATAAAAAAATATAACGAATTTGACAATATTTGGATTGGGTAAAAATATTAAATATTAATATTATTTTTGAAGTTAAAATCGGGAAATCTGCACTTTACTATTTTTAGGTTAAAATATCGGCAAATCTGGCCTGGGCGTTGCATATGTGAACATACAGTGTCTCACATAAATATTCGAATTTAGTTAGACTTGATACAATAAAATTCCTGTTTAACCGTCTTGTCTATACCAGAGCAGAATTACATATGTACATCAATACCCAACATACCCGGATATGTCATACAATTTATATTGCTATTTCATCTTTTTATATATATTTCTAGTGTATAATTTAGATTATTAAAACTAATTTAATAAAACGCCAGTACAAATAAATTAAATAGTTTTTGATCACATACTATTAAATTTTAGTCATTTTTTAAAAGTTTTCTCATTGTTTTCTTAATTACAAAAATATCATATGGGCAATTCCATGAAAAGGTAAACCACGACTGAAAAAACAAAGCCCCTATAACTTCTGCATTTTTAAAGATAATTCAACAAAATTTGGTATATGATCTTTTGTAGCGCCAAAGACGAAGACTGTTGAAAATTTTTGAAATCGGTCTATTTTTACACCTCGCCGCCATACAAACGGAACCGAAAATATCACTTTTTAGCTCATAATTCTGTTAATTATAATAGTATCCCTTCAAAAATCGGCATATCTAAAAGGTTTATAAGCCTAAACCTTTATGATTTTCATAGCGATTGGACCTAATTTGACCCTAGTTCCATTCAAAGTTTAATTTTAGAAAAACACTTAAACGTCCGTAACTCACCTCTAATCACTAGTATTATGATAAAATTTGGCAGAAATAAGTTTTATATGAATTAAAATCACACCCTAGAATTTTATGAGGATCGGTCCATATTTGACCCTAGTCGCCATATAACTTCAGTTTTTTATTTTTATCTATAAACATGTATATAGGTCGGCCATGTCCGACTGCACTTTCCTACTGCTTTTGATTTGTTGAAGTGTGTGTATGCATATACATATTTCCAAAATATATATTTTATAACCTAAAAAAAATCAGGAGAAAAATCTGTCACATACGATGTGTCACGTACGATATTTAAATATGTTCATTATAAAATTATATTAATTTCATTTTTTATTTAAAAATTATGGATTACTAATGAAAAATATGTCCCATAGTGTAGAAATTAAAACAAAAATGATACACCTACAGAATTCGCAGATTTTCGTAAATATGTCACGTATGTTATCGCCATATTTTAATCCATATTTTGGAAAACAAGGTTCCGAATGGCAAGATTCCTTTTGCAAATATAGTATTCTTTAAATGGAACAGAATGACAAAATTGTTTTCCAAGTACTCCTAATTTTACAAAATCTATACCACTTTGAAGGCGTGCGAATGTCACATACAATCGTATGGAATTGCCCATATGCAGAAAACCTAAAGAAATTGTTTTTGCTTTCGTAAGTAGGGAACATTTTTGCAAAAAAAGATTGCTAAGTCATGGTCAAAAATTAAAATTTGAAAATTCAAACTTAAATATTTTTGTTTAAATAAGAAGAAAATTATTATAATCGGTATAATTTTACTTTACTAAGTCATATACAATAAAAAAATAATTTCAACAAAATCGGTCCATATTTGTAAATGTTACAGGGTCCATAAATATTTCACATTCAAATTTATGAGCAATGACACATGACTCTGTATTTGAAATTTAGCTAAATTTTTTTATAAGATACAAGAATATATATAATTCTAATAATAAAACATAAAATCTATCTTCGTCAACGCTGATGACGAAGATAGATTTCCCTGTATGTCGAAATAGAAAAAAAGGCGCAAAGGAATATTATTTGTTGAGAATGCCGCTTGTCACAATATATAATACTTTTTGCTAAAACATTGAGATACAGTTTTCTGGTCTAGGCATTATTCAATGCGTTAAGGGTTATTTGGATAAAATTTTCTACGTAAACAAATTTTTACAGTAGAACACTAAAGAAAAACAAGATTATTTTCTCAACTGAGTCTACCAAAAATAACTTATTAAGTTATTTTGCACACGCTCCACCATTATTATGCGATTAATCTGTATCCGTACCTTGGTCAATTTTGAAAATAACTGGAAAATGTTGGTGGTCCATAAATTTCCCATTTCTCGGAAATATGCTTTAATAATAAAGTCCCTTATTTATTCAACAATCGTAACATATACTGTAAATTGTGAAAATCAAACCACATTTACCCCTTACCATACATACAAAGTCACTCTTGGTAAATGTATTTTATGTTCATAATTGTCGTATTAATACTAGTTAGTATCGCTATGATAAAATTTAATGCATCTACAAAAATTCATGAGAAGCAGAAATGCATCTGTCGAAGTTTGATAGGCCAACTCTGTAGAATTCGGTCGATAATTGACCCATGATCCAATAGGGGAAATCGATCATTATAATGAGGAATTGTTTTACTAAATTAAGTGAGAATGTGCACATAAGTAACCTAAACGCCCATATATGTACAACTACAAACTTATAGCTGGTGCAGGGTATCAATACTTTTTGTGATTGTTTTAAAATAAAAATGTTTGCGAAGTGAATTATTTCGATATTACGTAAAAATATAGATTCTTTTAACTATTTTAGAAGTTTTAATTCTAATTTGAAACCAATTTTTATAAACATATCGACGATTTAAAAATCACATATGTATTTGTTTTCTTGAAAGTTTTTACTAGTAAAGCGTTCATTTACTATAACTACGAAATCTATAATTTTTCTTGTTAATTTTAAATTCGATCGTTACTTACCTCACAAAATCTAATCTATCTATCATTCGATTTCAATCATATACATACATAATTTGAGTATAAGACCCGTTACATCGAAATGGAAAACGTTCACTTACCAAAAATAACTCATTCATAAAACTTTCATTTTCGAAACACTCATTCATAATTACTCTAAATGGAATATTTAACATTATATTTTTTAATAATTGCATAATTATGTTGTAAATTCGTCCTGTGTAAGCGCTTAAAATGTTAAAAGAAAAATAATTGACCAATTTAGATTAAAAAATAAATTTATATCTTTATAATCAAGGCCGATCAATTAAATACTTATAGGAAATGTAGGCAAACCTGTATTGTATATAAAAGAAAATTATTTCACATAAAATATAAAATATTTAAAATTCATGAAATCTTGTAAATTTGTTTTAATTTAATGAAATCTTTATATTTTTTACAGCGAAAGATATGTGCATTATGTAATGACTTCTTTTTGGGCGGCAAAATACTATAGCACTGCCTTATAGCTAATACTGTCCTGAAAATATAAGGCTATTTTTTTATAAAGGCTATTTTTTAATAAAAAAGTTCCCGCACCGAAAGCAATTTCTAAAATGCTTTTGTTCGTTTTTTTTTTTCAAAAATTATTTTCATAATTTTCATATAAAAGTATGTAACATGCAATATTATCGCGATTTGTTAAAATTTCCATAACAAGGATTTAAGGAACATTGTTCTCTTTAAGATAATGTAATACAAATGCAAAAATGTTGGCAAAAATATTTATTTTTCTCATATAGAAAAAGTAAAATTTATACAAAACTTCATCGCCTTTGGTGCGGAAACTTTTTTCACGATGAGTAGTGTCTCAAAACTAACGAACTAATTCGCAAACGTTCCACAAATGTATGTACGTATGTAACTCAACAAAAAAATGCCGCGAGTTGGGCCACTTATATTCGACACATGGAATAGTCTTCCAGATTGCTACAATGAGGTGAAGAAGTTGGAATTTTCCGACTTTATTCGGATCGAAATATTTGTGAAGTAAGAAGCCAACTAACCAATAATAATTTAGAGTCGTGTTTGAAACTTAAAACCAAGGACCCGAAAACTTTTTATTTCAATTTTTTTCTATCATATAAATATCTTTTTTGTTAAAAATAAATTTTGATTTGTTGAAAAAAATATTAAAATAATTTTTATTTTCAAATAATTATGATCCAAACTTTCTAAATTGAATTTGTTCGAAATAAAAGTTAATGTTGTAGGTAAATGTTTAATTTATGGTCAATTATGGACCAATCCTTATAAAATTTGACAAGTATTTTATTTTTAAATTATATCAAATATTATTTTCAAGCCAGTTATGAGCGTTATATACCTTTTCTGAAGAGGGCCTTATATAGGGGATAGGGTTAATTATTTACCAATTCTCATAAAATTTGACACAGGGAATTTTGTAGAAAATTTCATTGTTATACACGAACAGCCAGTTATAAGACACTTGTATGGGGGATAGGCGAAATCATGGACCGGTATTGCTCATATTTGATACTAAATAGACCTTATCAATAGAGAAATTTTCAAACCTTGATTTTGTTGGCCTGTGTTATTAATAAGATCGTCAATATTTGTGGTATCATGTAGATAAATAAAAAATAAATATATTTTTAAAGTGAATTCATAAAGAATTTGTAACTTTTTAATAAACTAAAATTGTGTGGCTCTTTTAAAACCTAAGTTTTGTTATTTGTAAACTTTGGCCCTTCTGACTCAAAAATTTGCAGACCCCTGACCTAGATATAGAGATGCCAAGTTATTATGGCCGTCTTTTAATGAGAAACACACAAGACACTTTATAACACGAAATAGGCGGGATATATTGTGGTTGATACACTGGGTGCTAGGCAGACATGCAAGTCGGCATGGGTTCCACTTCAATCAGTACTGTCGCAGTTGCAGACAGGAAAGAGGAAGGACTTCCATCTTCTCCGCTCCTTCTCCCGATCTAGCCGCTAGAGAACTGTTTTCTTGGCAGTTACATCATATCCAACCTTTGCGAGATATCTGGGTCTATACTTAATGACATCTTGAGATTTCTCAGGGTTACAGGCTGGATCTAATACTATACAATACTGCATCTGACGAGTGGAGTGGTCCTGTCAAAGCGGAGTCCCTTCGACTCTACTCGACTATTCGCGCGCAGTGAACTACCACGATAACCAACCAACTAATATTTAAATTGAAAGAGTAATTCATTTCTTAGAACAAACCCATTTGGTCGAATTTTACCTTAATATCATAATTTTTAAGCGATTTATTGACAAATGATTTTCTGTATAATGTATTATGAACATATGCATGTATGTTCATAAAATTATTCAGATTTTGGTTTTTAGAGAACTTCCCAGGAAAAACTTTACTTACCCGGTAAATAGGCAAATAATATTGGTGCAAATTGGAAGTACTTACTTTTGGGGTGAATAACTAATTATTTTTCTTCGACGCAGTTCAAAAAATAACTGGTTACAAATGTGCTTACCCGATTTTCCCGAGCTTAAACCTGGCTCTAAAGTTATTTTTTGTGTTTGCTAGTCTTTCCGCTTACTCAGTGCTTTATTTTATAGTACTTTTTGGAATAGTTTTTACATAAAAGTATAAATCGACGTTTAAAAAAAAAATACTGATATCAACTATGATTCGAACCACAAACTTTGGATAGATGCTTTAGATAATTGGACTGATGCTCTAGATAATTGGCTACAAATCCCATTCAAAAAATTAAATAATGTTATTGATAACGACTACTCATTACCAGTAATGTATTAAATAACTACATTATCCAGATAAATCATTATTAAATTTGAAGATTTTTTGCTGGGTTATTTATGTCGAATTTCACTATAGTGGTATTTTGAAGTTATTTTCTCGATCAAATGTTCCGATGTTCACCATTCTTTACACTTTCTAAAAGTGCAAAAGTACTTACATATATATAATTTTATCACAATTGCTGCTTAAGTAATAGATTTATTTCTGTTTAACGTTTTAACCGTGAACCGATTTCAATACCAAACATTTTTGATTAATAGAGAATATTTTGAGAAAATTGAATCTTCCTAGTTGTTTTCCTCTGGGTACCAGAATATACATATACCATATAAAGTATATACATACATATTATATATGGGGAATTTCGTGTCAAGTGACCCAACTTTAAAAAATGTATTTATATTCATGGGGTCTACCAGAGATATTTCGATGTGTTACAAACGGAATGACAAAAATCAATATATAGGCAACTTTTTTGATAGTGAGTAGATGTGAGTTAAGAGCGAAAACAGTAAACATTATTGTGTGCATTGTTTCTATAATATACAATATTAAATAAATACAAATGCAGGAGAATAAATGCATTTTGAATGTAAAATTCATTAAGGAAATCACATCACTGTATACATTATTATCATCCGTCATACGTCAGCGCATTAACGGCCATCGAACGCTGGCTTGTTGAAGAGTTGAAGTAGACTGAAACAAATTTATTCGTTCTGTAATCTCAAACAGTGTGGACGTGTCAATTTGATCGATTTTAACCAATCAACGTTTTGTTACATTAACATATTGATTTCACTAAATGTGCAAAATTGTAAACAACAATTCATTTGTTTTTTATTTCTATCACAATTCTATAAATCTGGAGTATTATTGGAAAAACAAAGTTTAAATACTAATCAGTTCTTATTATTTAGCTCTGTTGTAAATTTGTTTATAAAATAAACTGTAAAATTCGAAATTAATAGTATTCAAATCAATTTTGAAATCTCTAAATACATGCTCGTTTGTGAGCATTCGTTTATTAATTGCACTGTAAAAACAAATGATAAATTTAATTAAAATATTTTCTTTCTAATCTCGTAACAGTTAACAACAATAACAAAATTGGGTGTAAACATTTTCTACGCGCAAAAATTAATTAAAATTATTAATCTGTTCACTTAACACTTAACGAGTAAAAGATTAAAAATAATAAAAACAATAGTGTAAAATAAACACATTAAAAGCAAAATGTTTGCAAAACATGTAAGCTTTGCAATATTTTTTGTCATCAATTTATTTTGTTGTAAAATATTTGCCAATAATTTTGTACAATTTAAATTCGGTAAGTGAAAAAATAAAAACAATTTCGTATTTCAAAAATTTGGAAACAAAATTTAAATTCGTAATCACTACATTACAAAATCTACTTAATGTAAAATTTTATGATATACTGGTTTTAATCAGGCTTACAGCCCCAACTATAATGTGCATAAGCTACCTTAAGGTAATGTCAAAAGCGAACGAAAATACTATCAAATGCTTAAGAAAATCCGAAGAAACTTTTAGGGATGCCAATCCTTATACCGAAAATCCCGGGATTTTTCGGGGTTAGATTTAATTTGCAAATCCCGGTATTTTTTCTGGATTAAGGTATCCCGAATCCCGGGATTTTTCAAAATGAATCCCAGGATTTGTTACTAAATTTTTTTTAAATACTTTTTTGAGCCATAATTCGTTTGAAAATTACGATCTTTGTATATTTTTGTTTTTGACAGCACAGCTAATCTTGTACATTTTGAACCTTTTATTTTTTAAAGTGGTATGATACCACATATAGTACATACAAATTTAGTTTTTCATTTCGTCGTAGACCCAATAAGTATCCACATTCTTTGTCTATATTAGACTCAAATTTGGACCAAAATTAACACAAGAAATCCTAAAAGGGCCTCCTGAAAATCAATTTGATATTAATATCAATACATTACGATCAGCTATTTGATGAAATTCATTTTTAAAATGGAATCGATTTGAATCTACAAAAATAATACAAAAATTGTGTAAAATTAAATTTCTGCGGCTTTTCATACAAATTATCATTTTTTTTAAATTGATTTTCTTAAATGGAAAGTATTTTGTTGTCTGCGTAGTATTTTGCAAGAAAATAAACCATTCCTCGATCGAAATTCATCATACCTTTTCAAATCGATTGATTTCAAATCGTTCGAATTCCATCACATACCGTAATATTTATTTATTTCGGCACAGTCAAATATAAAATCTAGAAGATTTTGCATTTCAAGCTCTCTACAAATCTGAGTGATAACGTTAAAGGTAAATTAAATTTTTCTGAATGTATACCGATCGACTCAGAATCACTTTCTGAGTCGGCCGTAGTTTGACCCTAGCCCTCATACGAAACCACCTTTAAAAAATATCATAAACGTCCAAAAATTTACTTATAACCATAAGTATCGCGATGACATTCAGCATAACGAACCTTTATATAAAATTACATCCCTTTTCCCAATTTTTTGAGGATCGGAACATATAAAGCCTCTTTTAGAAATCTATAAAGCCTCTTTTAGAAATTTAGTTTTTCATCAATATATTGCTTAAATACATCGGAATTAACGTAAAATCCAAAATTTTTTTTATGAAAAATAATAATAATGGTGTAGGGTATCATATAGTCGGCCATGTCCGACTATACTTTCCTACTTGTTTTTATTTAGGAAATATCTATAAAAGTTCTTATTTAAGAATTGGAATTAATTGCATTGCTTTAATTTAAATTTCTCTTCTGCCGATTAAATTCCACAAGATTAATGTATAAAATACTTGAATTTATGTAATCCCGAAAAATCCCGCGATCCCGAAATATACCGGGATTGCAATTTTCAAAATACCGAATCCCGGGATTTGTAAAAGCCAGTTCCGTTTGGCATCCCTAGTACTTACGCTTCAAGTTAATCCCGGTTCACACAGAGAAACTTAATAATAATTACCTTTTTAAGTTGCCTTAATGTCTACACAGAGAAACTTTTGTTTCAGAAACTTAGTATTAATTGGATTGAGCCGGTTCACACAGGAAAACTTTTGATTTTGTGTCGGAGAAAAGGTTAGGTTAGGTTGATAGGAGGGTGTATCTACAGTGTTGCCAACTTAGTGCTTTTAGCACTATTTGCGGTGCTTTTTGGTGTGCCAAACGCGGAAAATTTTGCTCATGGTGCCTTTTTTCAAAAAGGCACTACAGTGGTGCTTTCTAATTTTATGACAGTGCATTTAGTGCTTTTTATACCCACCATCAAAAAAGATGAGTGGGGTATATTGATTTTGTCACTCCGTTTGTAACACATTGGTCGTAGACCCACAAAAGTATTAAATTCTAAGGCGATCTAACCATGTTCATCCGTCTGTTCATCTGTCCGTCCGTCTGTTGAAAGCACGATAGGGTTAGAACGGAAAGAGCAAGGGAGTTAAATTTTTCCACAAATATTTCTTATAGGTAAGGTTTGTTTGGTATTGCAAATGGACAATATGGGTCCACAATTTCGCATATCCCCCATACAAGTGGCCCCCCGAAAAACAGCTTTAACAGTCACAACTGTTTTAAACATACGAGTATAGCGATAAAATTTGGCATAAATAAGTTTTATATGCGCCAAAATCTCTGTACCAAATTTTATGGGATTCGGTCCAAAATTGACCTACCCCCCATACGAGTATAGCGATGAAATTCAACATAAGTAAGTTTTATATATGCCAAAATCTCTACTAAATTTTATAGAAATTGGTCTATAATTGACCCTACCCCCCATATAAGGTCTCCTTCAGAAAATGATTTAAACGGTCATTACTGACTTAAAAATACGTTATAGCGATGAAATTCGGCATAAATAAGTTTTATATAAGTCAAAATGTCTCTACCAAATTTTATGGGAATCGGTCCATAACTGACCCTACCTGCATCAAAATTTCTCTACCAAATGACATTAATACTCATTATCGACTTAAAAATATTCGACATAAATATGTTTTATATAAGCCAAAATCTCTCTAGCAAATTTTACGGCAATCGGTCCATAATTGACCCTACCCCCACATATGGTCACCTTCAAAAATTGATTTTAACGCTCATTACTGACTTAAAAATACGAGTATAGCGGAGAAATTCGAATTTAATTCGGATTTGTCGGTAGCGTACCCTACCCCCTATTAAGGTCCCCTTAAAAATATGAGTACAGCGATGAAAATTGACAAAAAATAAGTTTTATATAATTTTTTTACACAATTGAACCTATCCCTCATATATAAAGCCTCCATGATTACTTCATCGTTGTACTCGCAATAAAAAGATTTTTATTATAATTCTTTATGCCGAATTTTATGACGATTGGTCTATAACTGACCAACAAAACAAAATCTATGTACAAAATTTTATGGGTATCGATATATAATTGTCCCAACCCCATATAAGTTCCCCTTTAGATAATAACTTTTACGCTTATGACTGAATTAAAAATTCGAGAACAGCAATGAAATTCGAAACGAATAAGTGTTATACGAAATCTTTCTACCAAATTTTACGACAAACAGTTCATAATTGACACTACCTCTGATATATGTTCATGGTTAAAAAATTGGACAAAAATATTTTGTTTTTAAAAATTAATATTTTGTTAATTTGAAGATCACGTACATAATTGAATTAAGCCTTATCTCCCTGATGTTTACAGAGGAGCATTCCTTTTACGGCATAAGGTGGGTATATTGTTAAAATATTTTAAAATATTTGTGAATTTCAGGAGGTAATTTATTTAATTAATATTAAACATTTTCTCTATAATGTTAAGAAAACTGAGGGATCATTCTTTGATCTTTCTATTTGTACCACTTTTTGTTGTTTATTAGAATACGATCAGTTTACACTAAGGACTAAATTTTTCTTAAAAACTGTTTTAAATTTTTTTACACGGGTGCTCCAAATTTTTTTTTTTTATTTGTGTTAAGTTTTAAAAGCAAATATTCTTCGAAAACAAAAAACAAAATATTCAAAATACTTTACAATAAGTTATGTTATTCACTATCAGTGAAATTAACAATTTTTCCAGAACTCAAAAAACTTAAAAATAATATATATAGATTTTGCAAAAAAAAATATATTTCATAAGTTTTGTACAATTTTACAATTTGGGTGTGGGTACATCGGTTGGCCAGTTGGTAGTGTGCCTGTCAGTTTGAATGTTTAATGACATTTTACTATTTTTAAAATAACTTTTAAAATTCTCATCTTATTTATCTAATATTCGTCAAACATTAGTTTTAGTTCTTACGTTACTAAAAATCTAACTCACACAGATGAAAGACTTTAGTATGACACATGTTTTGTTTTGTTTTACCCAATGTTCTAAAAAACGAATTTTGGAGTCTTGTAGGAAATGAGCGAAATAATGTGCAATTTTTATTATAATAAACAATATTTGACTAAAAAAAACGTTAGTGCTTTTTTACCCATTTTCAGTTAGAAAATTACGCTTTTTTACCCCTTTTTAATTTTTTTTGCGCGCGTTTTGCTTGACCAATGTTGGCAACACTGTGTATCTACATCAAATCCGAAGAAATACGCTCTTGTTGTGCACTCCTTTTCATGGAAAATGTTTGTTGGTATTCACCAAATGTATTATAGTCCGATGTTCAGAAACTCAGTTTCCTGGAAGTAATTTCTATAAATTTTCTAATTAGTGTTATATCCGGAATAATATCACTCCTAAGATAATTTCGGCGAAAGCCTGACAATGGCAAAGAAAGTGCTCCATAGTTTCACTGTGTTCTACATTCGTCTGAATCCGCGCGTCCAAATTTGTATAAATGTGCTCGTAATCCTGTGTGTCCACTCAGAATACGTACAATCGTAGTAACCTCAGACTTGCTCTGTGTGAACCGGTACTAAAGAACTTTTTCTACAGCATTTACTTATATTTTTTCAAAATCAGCTGACATGAAAATGATGCCTTTAGTATGGCCTCTTTTTCCCGCTGAGAAGTTCTAGACAAACACACAAGAAAAATAATAAACAAGTGAAAGTGTTATATTCGGCTGTGCCGAATATAACCACAATCAACCGTATGCCATAAAAGGATCAACCGTATGCCATAAAAGGATCAATTAACTGACAGCTTTTCATAATTTTTTTAGACCGATTTAGGTTCATATTAACATGTTTACATCGAATATCACCCTGTACTCGCATTTTTATGTCAGTAATTAGCGTTAAAGTAATCTTCTGGAGGCAGGCTTATATGGGCGGGTAGTCCATATAAGAAATTCGGTAGGAAGATT